AAAAAAAATAGGCATCTTGCTTTTTTTTTCTTTCTTTTGCTTTTGAACTATTCACTCATTCATTACAGTTGTTTGCAAATACAAAATAAGTTCACTGTGTGTGTGTGTGTTTTTTGTCGCTTAAACAGTTAATAACCTTTATTTTATAGGATAAACTATCGAAAAGTATCCTTGAACATACAAATATACATACAGAAAAAAAAAAAAACACCATCAAAAATTTTTAACAACTTTGGCAACTCAACGACTGGTAAGGTAAATAACAATAACAAAAAGAAAAAAAAAAGAGAAAAAAACTTGAATAAAATACATACACCGAACATCCATCTTTTGCCTTATTAATTGTCTTACCAATAAAAAAAAATTGACATTTTTTTTAATATAATAATTATTTAATATAGTAATATATATATGTATATATATACATAAATACATATACACACAATGTACATAAACTTCTCCCATCAATGCAATTTATCCCAACTAAACAACACTTCTGTATTTCAGAAGACATTGTCAGTGGTTGTTAAATTAATACATAGCAGAAAAAAATTTTTCAATGACAACAACAACAAAAACAACAGTAATAACAAAAACAAAATAAAATGCATCTTAAGAAAATAAGAATTTTTTTTTTTTGTTTTTTTCAATGTGTTTAAACTTTTATTCCGGTTTTATTCAGTTAAAAATTGAGGAAAAAAAAAACAAAATATTTTAGCGTTACTTGATGAACGACAATAACGATATCACTGCAGAGACGAAAGGAAAGATTGAACAAAAAGTTTATCATTAAAAAGTTGTTGTTTCTATTTTTTTTTATTTCTCTAAATTTTTTGCCCACTTTTTTCTGCAATGCATTTACATAATGGAGATCGAAGTACAATGAGATCGACAGACAATTTAACGACGGTACTGACGGCGAACAGTTTAAAAATCCTGAAGAAATAAAGGAAAAGCGTAAAACCAGTAGTTGATGTTGTTTTTTGTTCTTGCCATTATATTTCTTTTTCTCACTCCATCTTCTTCTATATCGTCTTCTTCAATCCGCCTTTCCGTTCAGTCACCTCTGCAACGGATACTGGCGACAACCATAGCTATTAGTACCAGATTCACCGTAATCATTTGATCGTTGTTGACCAGTAAGCTGACAACAGTGTAGCAACATCGATGAACTCTGACTGCCCGATCGACAGTCAATTTCTGTTGACAGCGAACAGCGGTTGTATCCAATGATTATTTCAATGGCCTCTGGCGGTAACTGCCCTTCGTTTAGCATATAAATTGACATAAGTGACAGTGATTTGTTTCCAATTGTTGATTTCCTTCTTGAACAAATTTTCCTGTTGAAACTGACTTAATACAGGCAACACAATACAGTGGTGCGCAAATGACCGGTAGCAACAGTAACAGTAATTGGTAAAATACCAGTAACGGTCCAGATACTGTTCAGTGGCTGATAAGTAGAAGCAAGTTTTTTTTTGAGAAAATCTGAAAATAAACTTGACATTAAGTTGCTGTGTCATATAAATAAATGACATTTAACGTTTGTATATTCAAACAGAACAAAGGTAAATAGTAGATTACCAAACATGTTTTTATAATTTATTATTTAACTTATTAAAATTATTCCAAATTTTCTGATCTATATAGAAAAGAGACAAAAACTCATTCATCCAATTTAGTTGGTATTTTATAAAACAGTTATTTATATTATTTACATGCTTAATGTGTATGACGCACATGCATTTGAGTAAACGAAAAAATTTTTTGCTTGGTTGAATGGCTAGCCGGTATTTTCACCTCAGTAAAATTTATAACGATGAGCAATAGAATAGTGAATTTTGGTAGCGGAAAAAAAAATTGGAAGCCTATTGATGACGCCTATATAAAGAATGCTTGAAAGGAACTGGGAAGCACCACCGTAACAAATAATTTATTTTAGCATATTCTTTAGTTTCAGAGGTCAAACGAGCTATTTATCACACAAATACAATTTACAGCATTCAAAATCAGTACCAGATCGACCAGACACTGCACCTGAACAACCGAATACTACTGATGAAGCTCCACTGTCTAAGCTTATAAGAAGAACAAAAAAGACCCAACCTTATGCATTATCAATTTTAGGCAGCTATAATGGCTTTAATTTTTGTTATAATTTTCTTTCTGTTTTTTTACACGTTATACTATAATGTCGCTTATTAAAAGCTTAAAAACTAGTTAAAGCGAAGACAAAAAAGGAAAAAAAACAAGGATTAAATAAACCTACGTCAGCCTAATCTTTCCCAAATTTAAGCAGAAAAAAAAGTGAGGAGAAAGTAAAGAAATGCATTACTCAATCAAATTGGTCCCTTTTTCGTTTTTTTTTCTTTTTTACCTTCTTTTTTCTTCTTTGTTTCGGGTTTTCTTCCCTAAGTCTTTGTTCTCATTTTTATATGTTTGTGGTAGCAGCCAGAAAAATTGAATTGAAGCAGGCAAAGTTAAAACTGAGACAATGATCCACAAGTATGTCGTCAGTAGCCGAACGAATCGTATATACTTTATCATTTTCGATTTTTTTATACGTCCAAACACATCAGAAAATTTTTAAGCGTAACATTTACCGAATGGAATACTAAATGCTTAAGACAGTTATCCGAAGTAAACAGTAAATGTTCGGTAGCAAATAATTTTGGCTTATGTATCACAGTCGGATATATAAAATTTTATTGGTATCAAGATAAAAAGAACGACATTTTCTTCTACAGCCTTTTCCACCAAACTGTCAACAGTGGTAACAGCAAAAGCATCACCATCACCATCAGCAGAAGTTGCTACAGTGGCAAGACTAGTTCAAAGATGTACGAAAAAAAGATGATTCACAATTAAGAATTCAAGTTGAAAAAGTAAGCAGAAAAAACAACAAGACTAAATGTCTTCAATAAACACAAGAAAAAATAGGAAAAAAGTGAGAACTGTGATGTTCGCTAAATAATTTTTGAACACTGAAAAACCAGGAAACAAAAGGCAATTTTTTTTACAAAATTTTCTTGAAAATACATTTTTACAAATTTTTTTCTTCTCTCCACTTTTTTTCTCACTTCTTTCCAATATGCATTAATTTTGTAACGTTTCAGTAAACTTCTCTTGATTTTGTCACTCTTTGATTTCCCTCCGCAACCCCGTCACTCCGATGCGCCTTTTTCAACATTCATAAAACAACGCTGTTTTGTTTGCGTTATGTTTTTGCAACTGTCAAAAAAAGTAAATAAATGAGTAAGCGAAAAGAAAAAAAAAACTGAGTACAATACATGTAAAATAATAAAAGATTTTAAAAAAAAGGAGGTAACAATAAAGTAACAAAATGACGTTTTATTCTGTGTTTTAAAGAAACTTTGCTATCCAAATGTTTGAGCCAGAAACGGCCATACAAAGTTCAAAAAATGTTGCAAATACAAAATTATAGGTAATTTAATTCTGTAATTTAATTGAGAGTTTCTGCAGTAATTTTTAATACGTTGACTGTTCTGTAAATTTTTATTAACACTTCATTAAGTTCACCAACAATCACTGGTGATTCAGTTGTTCAGTTGTCTTTCATTTTTCACTGCCGTT